AGTAGCAGCAGCAGCAGCAGCAGCAGCAGCAGCAGCAGCAGCAGCAGCAGTAGTAGTAGTAGCAGCAGCAGCAGTAGCAGCAGCAACAACAGCAGCAGCAGCAGCAGCAGCAGCAGCAGTAGTAGTAGTAGTAGCAGCAGCAGCAGTAGCAGCAGCAACAACAGCAGCAGCAGCAGCAGCAGCAGCAGCAGTAGTAGTAGTAGTAGAAGCAGCAGCAGTAGCAGCAGCAGCAACAACAGCAGCAGCAGCAGCAGCAGCGTGTACTCGCTAATATGTGTACTACTGAATCGACCCAGTTTCACAGCTTAACTCGAACTTATCACTCAGTGGTAACGAACTAAGAACTGACTATCACGAGACGAAGTTTACATGCTTCCAAGAGCTTGATGCTTCGCGAATGTACGAAAAAACAATTGTTTACATTCCTGCAAGATGTTCGAGTACGGTTATTATGACACGTGTATGTGTGTGTGTGTGTGTGTGTGCGTGCGTGCGTGCGTGCGTGCGTGCGTGCGTGCGTGTGTGTAAAACTCACGCTGATCGTCAGCTGTTGGAACACGTACAAAAATATAAGCCGATAGCCGTGTCTAGTAAAGCAGTGTAGTGGCCTACGCAGACACACACGCACGCAGAAACATGCACGCACACACACAGAGCAGAGGGTGAGAGAAGTAGAGAGACAGACAGGCACGGACACAGACACACACACACGTACGCGCGCATGCACGCACACACACACGTACGCGCGCGCGCACGCACGCACGCACCACCCTCCCCCCACACACAGCAAATGCTGATGCGTTTTGATATACAGGTCTGCCGTTAGAAGGGTGGGGGAAGATCGCGATACCCGTTACCAGAAACATCGTAGCACGACTAATGTTAATAGCATTAGACTAATGGACCCTTAACGTTGACTCGTTGAGACTAGTTTATTTTTTGACAACGGGCCCCAGTATCTATCAATCTATACCGATCCCTTGCAGAGATCATTTTATTGGTTGGAAAGTACACGTACAGTGCATACTTCGACTTTGGCCAGTCGGCTAAATAAAATCTGTTTCTGCGCAATGTCTGTGCTATTTTCGTGAGGAATTTAACAAGAGATGTTGTTGTGTGTGTGACTGCATATTGCATTATAATATCGCATGCCTAGAAGCTTCCTATGAATTGTCTATACATGTGATCAGGAGTCTATCAATATATATCGAGTCTATCAATATATATCTATATATCTATATCTATATATATATATATATATATATATCTATATATATATATATCTATCGAGTCTATCAATATATCTATCAATATATATTGATAGACTCCTGATGTGATAATGGTAATGTCGTAGAAAGAAGAGTAGACTCGTCACAGCTATAGTGCTACGGCGTAGGTAAACTAATTAATGCGGTGTTAGCATTGATATATGGAAATTATCTCATTAGTGTGTAGCACAAAGGCTGCCGGAAATCACCGTGCGTGCGCGTGTGTGCGCCCATGTGCATGAGCGAGTGCGTGGGTGTGCGTGCGTGGGTGAGTGCGCGCATGTGCGTGAGTGAGTGTGTGCGTGTGCGTGAGTGGATGCGTGTATGCGTGTGCGTGCGCGTGTGTGTAGGCGGCATGGTTACTACCGTACGTGGAAATTGAAAGACTCGATCAATATACGCGTATGAGTCGTAGCTGTAAATGCGTTGGTTGTGAACACCTAGCACATATACAGTGGAGTCTACTGGAAACAACGTACCTTTTAGTCTCTTTTGTTCATCGCTAACTTTATAGCTCAATGACATCGAGTCACACGCTCGGAAAACCCCCACATGTTACGGTGACATGTATACTGTAAACCACAGTGCAGAGGCTCTGATCTGTAGAGATCCGTCTGTAGAGACGGTACAGTCCACAGCTACAGAGTACAGACCACTGATGCTCAAGGGGTCGTTGTCGTATCAGGTACTACAGATATGTACCCGAGGTACATATATGTATACACAAAGCAGGCCCGTAGCCAGGGGGGGTTCGGGGGGTTCAAACGAACCCCCCAGAGCCCCCCCAAGCAAAAAAAAAATGTTTTTTTAATTTGCAAGAAATTCACCTCAGGTCGCTCCATTTTAGTGTAATAATTGCAAAATCTCCATCGTGCGGGAGGGTGAACAGTGAACACCCCCCTCCCACACCCTCCCCCAGCAGGGCCGCGGTGCAGTCCGACCCCCCCTTGCTCGCGCAGAAACGCCAATCTGAGGGGTCTATTTTAAAAATTTAAGACCAGACCCAGACCCCCCCCTTGCGCCTGCTCGCAACTTTGCGTGTGAACGCGTTAGACCCCCCCTGCGTTACAAATCCTGTACACGCCCTGCCGAGCAAATTGGGGCCAACACTGAAAACGACCCCCGCCCCCCAATTATAAGCTGGCTACGCGGCCTGCACAAAGTGTACCAAGACTTTTTGACTACAGAACTGTACCCTAACCCTTAACACTAACCCTAACCCTAACCGCTAACCCTAACCACAACCCTAACCCTAAACATACCTCATATAAAATATAAACATAATAGCTAAACAACCTAAAACTACCTCGGGTACATATCTGTAGTACCCTGATACGACAACGACCCCATCTGCACCACTGATCTCTAACATCACTGACCATACTAACTCTATATCTCTCTCTATCCTCTCCTTTGATCTCTATATAGTTAGTATAATAGAGATCAGTGGTACAGACACGCGTCAGTTGTACATTTAGTGTCTTTCCTACACTTGTCATTGTGCCCTCCATCACTTCTTTTTATTTAGTTTTGATTTATTATATTCAGGTTATATTTAGCTCCTTGACGTACACCAGTCTAATAAACCATATAATAACCTATATAATATTAATAACCATGTGTCGATCGTTTAGTCATGTCGATTGGTCGAAAATCTCGAAGACACCTTGCTCAGACCAGACCCACGGTCACCACCAATTGCGAAACGATTTTAAGTTACTCGCAGCTAATTCCGCACTCGACTGGCAACTTGCCACTGATCTCTATTATACTAGAATTAATTAGATTTATTAATTAGTTAGTATAATAGAGATCAGTGCAACTTGCCCTTATTGAGCGTACACTGTGGTGCGCAGCTTGGCAACAGTTCGCCTCTTGTCATTCGCCATCATTCTTCTGCCGGCTATCGGCTCTTTCAGTTTACAATCACGCTGCGCGACATATGCAGTGGGCGAAACGCATTGTTTACATGTATGTCACGAGTTATCACGATTAGTTTTTCAAATAATACCCCTGAAGGTAACTATGCCAAGACAAAGATTTCTCAGGTAAACAGTTTCTTGCAGCTGCTTTCGAATTTTCGGTGATCAAATACAGTAGAAACCCGCGTATAACAACCTAGATTTTAAGAACCTGTTAGGCTAAAATTTCCCATTTAGACCCCTTACATAAGACCTGTTTTAGGCAAGTTTTAAAGTAGGTTCTTAATTTTCCCATGCAGATGAAGACTTAAAAAGAACACTGTGGCTATAATGCCGCGCAGCGCGGGCACGGTCTTCGTTTTCCTAAATGTCCCGGCAGTCTTAACCCTAACTCTAACCCTAACCCTAAACCTAACAAAAACCCTAGACTCTAGCCCTAAACCTAACCCTAACCCTAACCCTAATCCTAACTCTAACCCTAACCCTTGTTTACTTGAGATAACGCTAAAAATTAAAAACTGCCGGGCATTTAGGAAATCGAAGACCGTGCCCGGCAGCCGTCAGATATACGCCGGCTGCCGGGCATATAGCCACTGTGTAAAAATAAACACATGTAATATAAAAAAGATGAGCTCAACAATATCGATGAATGTGCTAGCAACCCTGGCATTGTTATTGAGACACAGTACTGCATTATTTACATATATCTGCAAATGTAAAATATTATCAAACAAGGATACAAGCGTCTCTTCAGTGAAACATAGTTCTTGTCAGCACATGATAAATAAGTAGATGTATTGTTTCCACATTACAGTACTGTATGTCCATTCAGAATCCAATAGACCAGCAGATGTATTGTTTTGTTGAATAAAAACAATCACAGAGCTGTGTTGAATGCTGGTTAGCACTTTCTAATGTCACCAATACTGAGTTCTTCAGCAAATTCTTTGGTTTGAAGTTTCCTTGTGAACCTCTTCAAGTAAGCCCTATCTCCAACCAACCTATAGTCAACAGGGATCTCAAGGCCCTTCCCTTGGCCAGCATTGTAGCGATTTATTAAATTTGGTAGACTAAGTGTATACATTTTGCTCTTGGCTGTATCTGTACATTTAGAAAATGAATTTTTACAATGATGTGAAGGGATTTGTATATCAGGCAATTATTTTGGAAAGTTGTGAATTAATTTGCAAGTTAATAAATTGATTTGTTATTCTGTGAATTGATTTTAAATTTTGAATCTAAATTTCTCGAACAATATATTGAATATAAAGTAATTTGTATTTTTAATAATTAATTTGAAATGTTTTAAATTGATTTAAAATTGTGTATTTGAAATGTTTGAAAATGATTTTTGAAGGGGATGGCATTTCATAGGTGGCAGTTCAACAGTATGTTTGTTTACATAACATTGTTGGAGATATTATATAATATTGTTACGATGATGTTTGCAGTGCCAGGCCATGCCGGTCGACTTGTCTTTGGGCTTCTGTCTGGCAAGGAGGTGGTCTGCATGCAGGGACGATTCCACACCTATGAGGGCTACCCCATCTCAACCGTACGTATGCATGCGCTCAGTGCTAGTGATGTCCTGATGATCGATTATAATCGAAAGTCAGTCGTTTGCAGCAACCGACTAAGCGCTCGATTATGAAAATAAATAATCGATTATCATAAAAAAAAATTTATAGTTTGCGAACATTGATCAAATGACTCTTTATTTTATTATTGTGTGTTTATGTTTGTTACTTTCCTAACCTACACCAAACATTAGCAAGTATAATCCTACTGTTACATGGCTTTTAGAATATTGTATTATAAAAAAATACTGTATTATATCAGGAGTTTATCAATATGGACAATATGATATATATGAAATCGATATTGATAGACTCCTGATTATATGATAGATTATATATTTCAATATCTGGTAGCCGCGATCGATAACATTCAACCGATTATCTTCGATCATCGATCGGGTGGGTGCAACCGATGATTGATGATGAAATCCTAACCGATTGCCATTGCTACTCGGTGCGCGGTAGTGATTGCAGGTTGCCGCGCATCCTGTGCTTCATCTGTGTAAAGTGCAGTACTCGAAATACTTTACCTAGCCACCTGGAGTGGTCGTCGGCGTGCTCTAGCCAGCTGGTGTTGCAATAGGCGAGAGATAAAAAATGCTGCTGCTGCTGGTGATGAAAAGTGCCACGGAGTCGACAGTTTCTGCATGTGTGCATAAAAAACACGTATAAATTGGTCTAGCCTGGCTGACATAGCAAAACTGGCCATGTGAGGCATGGTCTCTGACAGACTGGTAAATGAGTGTAATGCTGTAGTTGGGAGTAGTTTACATATAGGACTATATGATCATGTGTTACCTAGCAGCAATTAAATATGTGACCGTATGATCGTATCAGGAGTGAATAATAATAGAATAGTCTATTATTAGTCTAATTAGTAATTAGTTCACTCCTGATCATATATTACTAAGCAGCAATTACATATGTGTGCGTATGATCGTGTGTTTAATACTTGACAGCTATTTACATATGCGACCGTACGACCGTGTGTTGCGTTTCAGTGCGCGATGCCCGTGCGCGTGTTTCACCTCATGGGGGCTCACACGCTCATCGTGACTAACGCGTCCGGCGGCCTCAACCCGGCCTTCAACGTCGGTGACATCATGATCATCAAGGACCAGCTGTACTTCCCCGGGTTCGCCGGTGACAACCCCCTACGCGGGATCAACGATGAGAGGTGAGTCAGAGACGCATGTGAGTGGCAACTGTAGTCGTGCGCGCGACGCGTCAAAGCGTGAATGTGTAAGAATTCTTCCTGCAGCGATTGTTGTGCGAAGACAAATTATATTAAGTTGATCATAGGTGGAGCCACTGTCTTTCTCTGAACTTTATGGCGTAGCAATAAAGTTTGGTACGACTGAGCTCCATGTTCTATCGCCTGTTCTGGTTCTACACACGAGCGCACACAAAAACGAAACAGTGATGGCCTCTTGCTGACCCCACACTCTCCATGTTGACCCTCCATTTATGATGACCTCTCGTTGACCTCCGCACGCACGCAGGTTCGGACCGCGCTTCATCGCCATGAGCAACGCGTACGACGCGAAGATGAGGAAGCTGACGCACCAGGCCGCCAAGGAGCTGGGTCACGAGAAGTTCATGCGCGAGGGCGTCTACTGCATGCTGGGAGGTCCGTCGTTTGAGACGATCGCCGAGGCGAGGATGCTGCGTCTGCTGGGCGGCGACGCTTGTGGTGCGTAGGGCGGTACAGGGTTCGTAAGGGGTCTTGGAAAACCGGGAAGGTCCTATGGCATGCAGCGCGGGCAGTTGCGTGGGGTTTGTAGGGGGTCTTGGAAAACCGGGAAGGTTCTATTGCATGCAGCGCGGGAGTAGCACGGGGTTCATAAGGGGGTCTTGGAAAACCGGGAAGGTTCTATGGCATGCAGCACGGGCAGCAGTAGCGGACTTACACGTAAGTCGACAAAATGATGACTTATGCGTATATCGTCATTTTCGTAAGTCGGCACAAAATTGCTGGTCCCAAAAGTAGTGACTTATGCGAGTTTTACTGTAATAGTGATCGGTTGACACAATCAGTCAATGACCAATCAATCGATAACTGACTAATCGATGGTTTCCCGCTGCCGCCTCACCCTCGCGCAGGCATGAGTACGTGTCACGAGGTGATTGTTGCGCGGCACTGCGGCATGCGCCTGCGCGGCATCTCGCCACGATAACAAACACGCGCTTGTTTTCTCTCTCGTCTCTCTCGCAGGCATGAGTACGTGTCACGAGGTGATTGTTGCGCGGCATGCGCGTGCTCGGCATCTCGCCACGATAACAAAGTTTGAAACGCGCTTGTTTTCTCTCTCGTCTCTCTCGCAGGCATGAGTACGTGTCACGAGGTGATTGTTGCACGGCACTGCGGCATGCGCGTGCTCGGCATCTCGCTTATCACCAACATGGTCGTCATGGACTACGACGAGGTGCGGCTCGCCAACCACGAGGAGGTGCTGGAGACGGGCCGCAAGCGCGGACGCGACATGCAGAGTCTCGTGCTGAACACCGTGCAGCAAATAGAGGACCCGGAAGACGACGACGAACTCAGCGCCGCCGTGTAGGAGGGGGAGGAACCCGCGGGGGCGGGGAGGAGGGGGAGGCAGAAGCCAGAGAGAGTGGCTATAAGAGCTGTAGCTGATGTGTAGGATGCTCATAAGAAGAAGATAAGAGAAATATTCAAAGAGACGAATAGAGAATGAAATAATTTTAAGCAAAAAAAAACGAAAAACGAAATCTTACGAAAAAGAAGGAAATCTAAGAACCTTCATCTATTAACTCAGGCTGGCAAAGGTTCTTGCTAGTGGACGGAATATAGTGAGTACGTACGTGCTTGAACTCCACAAGTGAAACCAGCCATAGTCTAAACGATCTCAGTGTTGCTTGTGTTTGCTTTTCGATGGCTAGATGGAAGTCTTCAGTGTGTTCAAACATATCCAGCGTGTGTGCCAGTCAGTGTTTACATGGCGTGCGTGTGTGCGCAGTCATGTACAGGTTTTAGGGTTGGAAATCCTTTGTTAACTATCTCGTATCACTCGCACTGAAATATAATATACGTGAATTTTCGACGAATGTGAGCATTTTAAACGTCCGATCAGGTGTGCTACGAGCCTGCTTACTGTTCTCGTTAGAAGAAACGCATCACGAACTAACTAACGTATCCAGAAAGTAAACAAAAAGCACCCGTACTGTGCACGTTAAATGCTACGCATGTGGTTTTACTCTGGTGAACGTTGGTTACTGTGAGTTTGTGCAATGCTAACACACGATCGGGAGTTCCCTCATCGAAGTCATTCAAGAAATGTATTTCATTACACATTCAAACCACCTCACCTGTAAATGATGAATGGAACATACAGTACGTAAAAGAGATGAAAATATTTTTGTGAGATCGGCACGTTTTCTTATTTAAGGGCACAAGTTAATTTAGCGAATTTATCGTGAAAAATTAGCACGTGCCGTTTGATGCTGCAACGCACTATGGAGAATAAATATTGGAAAGGCATTGAACACTGTCCTCTTGCTATGTAATGGGCCAATTATGAATACGAGTTATTTGTTAAAACTGTTGCGGGTCGATCGTTGTTACGTAGTGAGTATAGACAGACTGTGGCGTTGAACTGCTGCTTGCTATCATTTCTAATATACATGATATATGTCTTCATGTACACAGTGCATGATTCCATCAATGCTTGAGGTAAATGGTGGCCATTTTCTCGTTGTACGGCCAAGCTTGCATTCTCGTGCTATAATTATTTGTGAAAATTAGCAATAACCAGATGTTGTGAGTGACGCTTGTGCACGTGCACACACATTCTTGCACGGTGCGCCAGTAGTGGTTCCATTATCGGTGCTAGTAGTGTGGTGGCCAACATTATACAGATATTAGCATAATACAATACTTTTAGTTGTATATGTTATTAGTGTGTAAAGGATTCTAATGGAATTTCCTCAATTTTTCATTTGTAAATGTTATACGTAAGAAATTGTCGCTTTCTATGGGATGGCTTGCAGCATAGTTCTAAATTCAACCGTGCAAACTATAGCAGCAGCAGAACAATTAGCAGTTGTAAGCAATGTAATTGTCCGTGTTTTTGCATCAAATTCATGAGCTCTACCTATCCGTTTGCTCTGTCACCTGAAAGGGAGGCCACACAGGTGGAGAGGGCTACACAGTTTATCGTTTTGAATATGTGACTGTCCGGTTATAGCATAATATTCAACGTTTAGTTGTACATTTCATTAGTAAATCACTAATATCTTATTTAATTATACTATAGAATTTAAGTATTTAATTATAATTATCTATCAATGTAATAAGCACTGCACAACTCTAAACATTACCAACAATATATAATGCATTTCTCTGTTAATTAAGGTATTTCTGTTTTATCCTCTCGAGTGTTTATCGTGACACAACGTTGACAGCAAATAACTGAGTATGAGCTGATCTGAAGTCTTCCTGTGCAGCATTTGAACTCTACAGCACTACCAACACAGCATCAAATTATGCAGAAAATCTAGCAAATTTCTTGATTGACATTCTGACCTTGACATTGACTAATTCTTTATAATACATGTATTCAGCTAGCCAGCCAATTTTGGTAAATTATCAACTATGACAGAAAAATCCATTTCGTTAGATATGATAATTCATATAGGACATTTTTATTACACTTTATATTATTTTATAATATATAAGTTATTTACAAATACAAATAAGTCTACATCCATATGGAAACCTATAATCACAGATTTTTCCTAAACATTTGACTTGCAGTTTAAATCACCGGATTTATAAAATCTAATCAGCGACATTGCAAAGCAAGAAAAGCTGCAAAGAAACGACACATGGTAGCAAAAGTTCATTAAACCATACAATAAACTAAAAAACATAAAATTCTGATTATAAGCTGTATGATCTCTGCTATATAGCATAACTGAACCAGGCCAGGTACCAAACGTTGTTCTGTTTTCTGGCTGACGGTATTCCAAACGCGGTACCAGAAACCTTGCAAGGTTACAGAGATGCAAAGACCTTACAGTTTGAGCCAACAAACAAGCATTACAGCACAAGCTAGCTACTGCTACTGTAGCTGGCTGAGCTTGAACTCGCAGGATACTTGCACACTGAGTATGAAGGGACCTTCCTGACCGGCGCGGTACGTGCACGGAGTTATGTTATAGATGCCTGCCGGCAAGCTGTCTATCTGAAGAACTGCAAACCCTGACCTGCAATACACAGATATACAGAGTAGCATAGACGCATCATCACCAATCACTGTTTTTACATATTTACATTTGAAGAGAATATATTCAGGATAGGATTTGGAAATTTTGGATCTATATAAATATTGCACTCATAATATTATTATTATTATTATGCACCTGCTGTTTGTTTATTGGGTTTATCCCTGAAGGCACTTACTACCTTGTCACTACATCCAGTGCAGTAGACACCGACAAGTACGAGAACATAACATAACATAACATATATATATATATATATATATATATTATATATAAATATATATATATCCATAACGAAATGTCATTCAATACCGGCCGATGTCCAACCACCTCTGCTGTCATTAATTCTTACCTAAAATCTCCAGACGTTTTTTTCGTGAAGACATTCTTGCTATTCGTGTAGTCTGTGCTAACACACCCGACGTCAAATCCAACGCTGTACTGCCTAAGAAATAGCATGGAATGACCGATATTCATTTAAGACATACAGTATTCGTAAAGGCATATTGATCAAATTGATTATAGAACGGTTAAATACAGAAGACTGAGGGTATGGGGAAAATTACTCTCACTGCTGCAAGGTTTCTTACTTAGGTCCCTTGAGATCAACAAGCATGCTGTTCTCCTCGGAACCACGCAGCGCCACCTGGTAGATCGGATTGTTACGATATGTTTCCCTGTTGTTAAGGCAGCCTCCTGCAGTCCTGGCTGTCCAACGACCTTCAACCTAGGATTTCATACGTATAACGATTAGAACTTCTAATACGTATAGTTTCAGAAGCATACCGATGCCACTGCCGATCACATAAATAAATGCTTTTTCCATTAATATTAGTGTAAATGTGTAACTATTTGGTTTATCACCCTTGGTAAAAAACATGATTGCGATTATTGGTTATCTTCTTAAGAAATCTTCCAGGCTTAGCTATTCTGTCTGATGACATCGTAGCAAAAACACTAATAGATACCACTAGCATTCCCAAATTCTTACACGCGTGGCCAGACCCTGCTGGGGCAGTTTACAGCCCAACCCCACCACCATACCACGCTCACTGGTAGTTTTTGGCACCCTGCTGGCGCATTCCTCGGTCTGCTGATGCCTCCACTGCCTGGTCGGCGCTGCGGTTGTGGCACGTGAAACCGCCGCACTGATTCTGTGGGGAGTGGCATTGGTGGATCAAGGAACGGGCCAGTGGTGTGCCATGAAACTACCAGTGAGGGTAGCAGTAGTGTAGTGTGGTAGAAGGATTCGCAGGTGGGAAACCTGACGGGGGCCGCTACGTGAACGCTCCCACTGTGGCCCCCTGTACCACCCGGTGAGGGTTGTATGGTGGTGGGTTTGTGCTGTAAGCTGCCCCAGCAGGGTCTGGCCATGCATATAGGAATTTAAGAAATCCTAGTGGTTTCTATTAGTGGTTATTGCGGGGTGCCAAAAAACCACCGGGGAACGCCACCTTTCGTTTCTGCTTGTAGTTGTCGACGATCTTGCGGAGGCTGAACTGGCAGGTGGCATAGACGCGCAGCGTGTAGTGGATTGTCGTCATCTTCTCGTACTCGGACACGACGAGCGTGTAGAGCGAGGACGCGCTGCCCCCTGGCGGCTGTGATATCATCTTGCACAGGTAGTGCGGCGAGTTGATGCGCACGCCGTCGATGTGAGGCGGCGGATCGTCTGCAAGATTTTTCGGAGAAAAAAACTTTTACCACTCATTTTTCGGGGAGACAACGGGGTTCGTACATTCAGAGGCAAAGAAAATTGTACAGGACCTTTCTAGGAATTTTTCAGCACTTGGAGAAGGTTAGTAAAATCCGAGGCAAAGAAGAAATTGTCCAGGACCTGTCTAGGATTTTTTCAAATACAATATGTATGTACCTGGTTTCCAGGCCTTTCCTGACATGGAAAATGTCAGTTTAAAATTCCAGAACCTTACAGGGTTTCCAAGAGCTGTATGTATCCTCGAGATGTGAGATAGTAAGCCAAATGTGACAGCCTGCACGTGGTGACATATTGCGAAACTTCTACCTTCTTACGACCCTTTTCCTCTCATACTGTCTCCACATTATCCACCAAACTCTCCTCTACCTCTAATATATTCCTATCTAGATCAATTCCAGCCGTTTAACCACCTCTCTGTTCTTCGTTACTTTACATCTCTATGCAGTTCTATTACGCTGTCGCCCATGTATCTTAATTATAAAATTAAACAGGGAGCTATATATAGAGCGTAGTTCTGCTGAGTTTCTACAGCTTAGACAAAAACAGTTGATGCAGTTTTAGTAATGAATAGCCATCAATACGCGCGATCACTAGAAATGCAATGTGATAAGCGAATCTGCCGGGACCTATCGAGGCAAAGCTAAAGTTAGAAGAATAGTAGTTTCAACGTACGTCAGTCTTGTCCAGTTCTTCCAACTTTAGCTTTGCCTCGAAAGCTGATAACTACAGACGACAAAGCATTCGCCAACTGTGCTGCATTTTTACCCGACGACAGATTAGTTTATCACATTTCAAGCAGAAGTGTTTAATATAGACTCAGGACTCAGGCGTGTATAATATAGACTAATATATCTATATTATACACTCCTAATTGCATTTCTAGTGATCCCACGTCTCGCGGGTACACCTACATGGGTGGTAGGTACCACGGATTCACTTCTCACACTGCATCTCTAGTGATCGCGCATCTCGCGTACACCTACAGGGAGATATATACAGGGTGTACACCTACACGGGTAGTAGACGCGGCGGCCGTCGCCCTTGTACACGACGATAGCAATGAACTCTTTGTTCTCCGCAAAGTCGTCCTTGTCGGTGATGTGTCGCGTGAGCAGCACCCACACGGCGCCGGCGCCCTGCACCTCCAGCCGATACTGCGGGTTGTCACCTATGTTGTAGGCGTCCTTGATGGGGCCGCTTCCCGCGTTCCACGTGCTGCGGAGAGCGGCGTACCCGGTTAGTGGATCGTTAGGATCGTTACAGCTCTACCTTCGCTCCCACTACAGGGACAACGATGCAGTTATGCCTATAACTGCATACTAGCATAACTGCATATTGCATACTAGCATAACTGCATACTAGCATAACTGCATACTAGCATAACTGCATACTAGCCTATAACTGCATACTAGCATAACTGCATATTGCATACTCCCCTGTAGCGGGAGCAAAGGGGCCACACGGGTGGATCGTTAGGATCGTTATAGCCTCTACCAACTGTACACCTTCGCCCTCCCGCCTACAGGGAACTACTTTATTCCCCCTGTAGTGGGAGCGACAGGAGCCAAACGGCCCGTGGATCCTAGGATCGTCATAGCTCTACATATGTATGCACCTTCGCTCCGCTACAGAACTACTTTAATTCCCCTGTGAGTGGAGCGAAGGGCCAAACGGCCGGGATCCCTGAGGATCTCATAGCTCTACACATGCTAGCCACCTTCGCGCTCCGCTACAGCGAACTACTTTATTCCCTCGGTATGGAGCGAACGCGGGCGCTACACAGGGTAGGCGATCGTTAGCGTCGCTTATTTAGCTCTACCATTGTAGCCACCTTCGCCTCCCACTACCAGGAGAACTACTCTTATTCCCCCTGTCAGTGGCAGCGAAGGGGCTACACGGCCCAATGTGCGAATCCCTAGGATCGTCATAGCTCTTACCATCTGTAGCCCACTTCGCTATCACCGCCTACAGGAACTACTTTATTCCCCCTGTAGCGGGAGCGAAGGGGCCACACGGGTGGATCGTTAGGATCGTTATAGCTCTACCAATGTAGCGCCTTCGCTCCCGCTACAGGAACTACTTCATTCCCCCTGTAGGGGGAGCAAAGGGGCCGCACCGGTAGAGCTAGTATCATTAATGATGGGATCGTTACGGGATTACGTTTGTCCGTCGCGATCGAATTACTGGAGTTATTATCTCACAATGACTGGAAATAGTTGAACTGTTCTTTAAGGTACATGTTGCATATTGAGTGCTGCAAGTACGTGTAAGTTCGAATGAACCACACGTGAAAAAACTATGAAACAATGTAGGTGACAGCAAAATCTTGCCAAGTAGAAAAACATGATAGCATGATGTTTCTGTAAGCCGATAGTTATAACAGTCAGAGCAAGCACTGTCAATCACTAGTAGACAGGGTGAGGGTAAAGCAGGAGGGTAAGCAACACGTAAATTACCGGATGGTGTTTGTTTAAAAAAAAATATGCCGAACTTCTATGGAATATGGTAGCACAACAGAACTATAATTGGTTCACGAAATAATCGACTTGGACTTTTTTATCTGATACCTGTCGGCAAACAGCCGCACTAATTTTGTGTGGGTGGCATTGAAATAAGTGGAAGGACCTAATAAATCGGCAAATCTTTCCATATCACGTACGTTTTCGAACGTACATACCTGTGAATGCAGTAAGTATGTTGAAAGAGATCTGGATTCCAATTCATGTACACCACCTCGTAAAACTGGCAAACAGAGTCATAATCTATCCAGAACACGCCTATAAAAGACAACAAAACAAATGCACAAATTACAATGATGCATCAGACTAACCAGGAAATTTAGTCTAGAACTTTGATGATTCGAGTCCTCCCTATTAAAAGGTATATGAGAAGAAACACCTGGGGTCCATTGACAGAAACATCATAAATAGATATTAATATATAATAATGATATTATATAAAAATATATATTTATATATATATTTATATTTATATTTTTAATATCTAATATATATTCATATATTATTATATAATATATTAATACATATTAGATTATAATTTTAAAATGTCATGAGTTTTGCACATTTGAGACATGACAAGTATTTAAGATGTTTCTGACAACCTGGGTAATAATTAGTTACTCGTCCACAAAAGATGGACAATGGCAGAACCCCTGATGAATGTCACGCACCATCATCAAACTGCTCGGCACTTTTAGGGTTGTAGTTGAGCGCCCTCTGTAGTTCGGGGGTCCAGTGACGCGCGTCACGCTCCGAGTAGTTGCCCTTCCATCGCAGGTGGTTCCACGGGTTCTTCAACATAAACAGCTGCTGGCCCTGAAACATTTTTGTCAACATGTCTGTAGCGGTGGCCTGGCCCATCTCTACCGGACGCAGACGAGAATATCACGCATCTGGTAGTGATAACAAAAGCGGCTTGAAAAAGACATCGGACTAGTTGTAAAAACTCACTTTAGTCAAGATTTAGCACAAAATACTTATACCAGAAACATATCTTGCGGATGTTCGCGGAACGGCAGTGCACACCTATGTTACTTTCTTTTCAGATTGAGCTGTTAACGTGGTTGAACGTGTTTCTCAGTAATAAAGACAAAGTCGTTTACAGAAATTCAGCAGTTTTCTTGTGTCCGTATCTGGAACAATACTCATGTGCAGTAGTATACATACACATATACATAGAACCACGTTCAAGCGTATGGGTATTAAATTGTATTTTTCATAAACCCTCCAGTATTAATAGTCAGCTTAGAAACTTATTAGACAAGTGTTCCGTTAAATATTTCGTGCTGGTAACGCGGTGTCTAGAATTTACGACTTGGATAGCGATTCATCTAGTAAATTGAAGTTGATTTAATTATTTATTCATTCATTCATTCATTCATTCATTCATTCATCGATTCGTTCATTTATTCAATCAATCGTTCATTCATCCGTTAATTCATTCAGTCACTCATTGAATGACGATTCATTGATAAAAGAACATGGCTCGCAAGCTTCTGACTGTCTGAAACACACAGATGCGGCTACTGTGAGTCTACGCAGTCGTATGTTAACACAACGCATATATAAACGAGACGTATATAGCATATATGAACACGCACTTACATGCCAACCCTAAAGCAAATATGATGCATATCTACATGGAGTTCCTGATAGCTACAGTAGACTAATGTGACCTTTGAACTCAACTTTACTCTCTCACTGAGCCACGACTGCACAGCGCCATGAGATTTCTAACGGCTGTTCTTCGGTTCAATAATGCCCAGTAACTGAATTAAATCGAAATTTAATTAGGTGGATTAGAACTTTAAACTTGAGAGCAATAGCTGGTGCACGCCTGAAGTGCGCCTGAATGTGTGTCTGCGCTACTTTTGACTGGAGTGCGATTATATATGGAAAGGATGAAACTCAGGGAGAACGCGACAGAACAGGTATTCGCACGCGTGCCTTGATGTGTGTACGTGCGTGTGTGCGCGCGTGTGCGTCCATGTGTGCGTGGGGTGTGTGTGCGTATGTGCACGCGTGCGTGTAGCTGCCTACAGACCGTGTGCGCGTGTGTGTACGTGCGTGCGTTCATGTGTGTGCGTGTGTGTGCGTGTTTGTTTGTTTGTTTGTGCGTGCGTGCGTACGTATGTTTGTTTGTGTGTGTCTGCGTGTTCGTTTCTCGCTCTCTCTCTCTCTCTCTCTCTCTCTCTCTGTGCGTGTGTGCGCGCATGCACATGTATGCGTGTGTGTGTGCGTGCGTGCGTGCGTGCGTGTGCGTGCGTGTGTATCTGCGTGCGTGTTTGTTTGTGTGTGTGTCTGCGTGTTCGTTTCTCTCTCTCTCTCTATGCGTGTGCGCGCGCATGTACATGTAAGCGTGTGTGTGCGTGTGTGTGTCTGCGTGCGTGTGCGTGCGTGTGTCTGTCTGTGTCTGCGTGTTCGTCTCTCTCTCTCTCTCTCTGTGTGTGCGTGTGTGCGCGTGCGTGCGTGCGTGCGTGTTTGTTTGTGTGCCTGCGCGTGTGTTCCGATCGTGTCGACATCCGACATCTAGTCATGCGTAGACAGAATCCACGTGTCAGGATAAGGTTACGAAAATGAATCCAGCGAGCCTCTTTTGCTTTTGTTTGTGAATAATGGTTGTGGTGCAGTAGGAGCTGTGGTGGATTGAGAATCATTCTCGATGCCTCTGGACATCCGAGATACGAGAACGAGAATCATTGCAAAAATCTGCCTGCCGCTTGTTATGCTGTGGCGCAAACCAACCGCGTGCGTTCAATAATTTATTTATTTATTTATTTTGCCATCGATTTTATTGGCTTATATCGGATGACGCGACCGTATCTATCATAATCAGAAAGGTGTGTACAGAATGTGTGTAGAGAGTAGAGACTGTGTGTGATAGGGGACTTGGCTTGCCTTTACCTGTGCGCGTGATGGTCACATCACACCTTTCGCACTTGGTTTTGCTGTGCGTAAACCAACTGCGTGCGGTATCCATTGATTTGATTGGCTTATATCGGATAATGCAACCGCATCTATCATAATAAGGGGGTGTATATTTGTGTGTAGACTGTCCAGCGTAATAGGGATTCGGCTTGCCTTACGTGCGTGTGACGGTCAGATCACACGGTTTCAGGTGGTGCGTGACACTGCCCGACGGAGACCCAGTTTGCTGAACCTGCTGCTGACAGTGATAGTGACCGCCATGATACTCAACCTGGTGCTGAATGCACTGGACGACTCCAATACACACAAGCACGGCTACATGAGACAGCTGGTGTCCAAGCCAAAAGCAGGTGCACGTCCTTATATAGTTAGGACTACTGTTCTACTGTCCTACTGTCCTACACTGTTCTAGCACTGTACGTAGCATCGCATCCGAGAAACACTGATATGACATGTAATACACGCACGCACGCACGTACGCAAGCACACACACACGCGCGCGCACACAGGCACGCGCGCATGCACACGCACGCACGTACGCGCTCACACACACACGCACGCACGCACACACACGTTACATATCAGTGCACATCCTTGATGAAATGTCAGCTACCGTTGCAGCTGTATCCAGATGTAATTAACGTCCCTTTTCAAGTCTATAGTTTTCACACGCATTTCACATCAAGTAAAACAGTTTATAGGTTAACTAGACAGATTTTACGAGTATCGCACTATATTAATAACCATAATAACGTATAACAACTCTGGGAAAAGCTCTCTTCACACGTATCCACATATTATGCAGTTCTGCGTTA